ATAGGCCTGATTTTTTTTGTAATTTTAACTTAGTTAATATATCAAAAGATGTATTCACCTGATGCTTTATTAAAAGGGCGCAGGTTTGTTCCTGTAGTTGAAGTCTAGACTTTGGAGCTGGAGAACCAGGCTAGAATATGTGCGATGCCACAAAATATTCTCCGTACTTTAAGTTGTAGGTGAGATATAAGTGTGAGTGTCAATCCCTTACAATGGAGTGAGTGTCAATCCCTTACAATGGATGGTTGGCGGTAGGATGCTGCTGACTAGTTACCTTCTCTCTCTGGTTAGTAATTCAAAATGAGATCGGCGGTAGACATCCTTAGTAGCCTTGTCATAAATCCAAATAGCTAATAAAATTTTGTATAACCAATTTTGTTTTAGCTTTAGATAAAATATGAGTTTGCGAAAAAGTATCATCCTTGGCTCTGAATCGCTTGTTAAAGGGTTTCATAATGGAAAAAGAAATTTGCAACTTGTAAGTTTGCTGAATGATAAAATATGAATATCTTAGATTATATTTTTTTAAAAGAGGAAATTTTTAATATATATATGTTTTGTATTGTTTTCTGAAGACTTTTTTTAAAGTATCCCATCGCATGAAATGTTATCTTTGTCGAGTGACCCAGAAAGCTATGTAAGGGGCCATCTGTGCTATCTCCAACGCGGGTATCGAAACCCGATTTTGAGTGTTAGAAACCCTTATACTTTCATCTGAGCCAGCAGGAGGCCACCCTTACTAACAGAAAATACAAAAAAATTCAATAGAACACGATAATTATAGATGTAGTAAAATGTATTACGACTAAATATACATTAATAAAATGCTTATCATTAAAATCCACCAAAACATACCGTAGTGAATTCATAAAGTTTCATCTCTCGTATGTTTTTCTTCAGAATCAACATTTTGCTCATGCTGACTTTTCAATGTTACAACCAGGAACAATAAGCTATTATTATTATTTGAGCAGCATATATCTTTAACAAACTAAGCTGAAATAATGTTTATAATTTTCCTAGTACAGCTGGATATTTTTTAACACAAAGAGAAATTATCATTAAACATGCACATGCACGTGCTGAGCATTGATTAGAATAATCATTGTTGGACAGTCAGGAAATGAAAAGTCGTTACTTCAACATATCCAGACCACATGAGTAAAATAAACAAAAAAA